CTTGAACCTCATTTCATGAAGAAGGCACCTGCTGGCTCTGGATTTAGGACGCAGAGGCCTTGTTTCAGGAAGGGCGGGGGACCCACCGTCAGGCTGACCATGACCTTTCCATTCGAATTTATTGATACACAGTGATAACCAAAAAGAAACAATACAAACAATCAAGCAATTCTATATATTTACCAAATCCTAGGGCTGTCATTGGAGTCAAAGTACAGCTGGCCAGGACCCAGTCTTCACTCCGAGGCTGTGTTGTAGGTGTCAGATCTCGGCAGTCTGGAAACGGGATGCTGAGGCCCACACCCCTTGCTCCAGTGGGGTGGATGAGATGGGCTGGTGGCGTGCCCTCTGTCCATGGAGGCCTCAGGGACCCTTCCCAGGGCGAAGGATGGGAAGGATCGTTGCCGCTTCAAAATCCTTTTGTATTCTTCTTCCCTCCTGATGACTCTTGCATCCGTGGCTATCACTAGTTGATCCCTCCGTGCGGCTGTCATAGTTCACGTACTGTGTCATTAACACATTCCAAGCCCATTGCATGCACACATCCTAATTTGGTCCTTCCAGGCCTTCTCCTAAATTGGTGCATTCCAGGGTATTTCTTCCCTCTATGAGTCTCGTGCCTCAGTGGGCCCATAACGTCTATCCCAACTCTTCGGAAGGGTTGACCAATGGTAGGGAGGGGCTGTAGGGCAGCCTTGCTATCTTTGACCAGGTCTCCGGGGCACTTGAAATACAATTGTTCCAGCACCATGAGCGTGCCCACGGTGTAAGCTTTGGTCCCCTTCTTCCATTTCAGATATAAATGGAAGAAGGCCCTCAGGGCCTTCCTGATTTCATCCCAGCATGCCCATGCAAAAATGTTATACTTTGCTCTAGTTTCCACTTCTTGTAAGCTTCCTTTTTGTGTTGTAGCTTACTGAAGAGTTTCCTGCTAAGCCGAGCTGGTCTTCTGCCATATTTGCTAGTGTGCCTGCATATCAGGATGGTTTGTTCCTGCACTCCCAAAGTTTTTTTTTTTAAAGTTCAGCCAACTATCCTGGCCTCCTCTCCCGCTCAGGAAACTCCAGTGGTATGGTCTCACAGGTGCATGAGCATGGTTGTGTCATCATAAGCATCATTTTCAGACAGAGTGGCAAATACAAGACCACCTTGAGACACCCTCACTCTAAGCACTGGCACCTCCTTGACTATGTTATTTTTAGAGCCCATGATTGAATGCACATTTGTACCCCAGGAGCTATGCAAGGAACTGATGAATGCTGGATAGTAACGGAGAGCCTGGGACTCTCTGCTACTTTAAGGGAGAAAGGGCCCGGGGAGAGCCCCAGGTGAGAGGAGACTATTTTTAGGAGGAGACTTTACTATTTTCTTCAAGGGAAGAAAATTGCAGGAGAGCTGACCTGAGTAAACAGGATCTATGAGTGCTTATTGAGTAGCACAATAGGACGATGCTTGCATGAATGGTAGGAAGCCTAGTGCAGCGTAGTAGGACTGCAGGCTGGAGCCCTGCAGGGGAGACTGGGCACTGCTACAGGCAGGCTGCCAGAAGACCATGACAGAAGTTACATTTTACAACCCAACAATGTGTTACAACCTGTAACATGATGCACATGCATGGGGTCATATCACGTTTAGGGGCACGATTGTCACGTGGTAACTAAAGCTCATGAGGTAGTTTAGCTGCGGTTCTGCCAGGTTCTGCAACTAGTTTTGTAACATCTATCATGCAAATGTGATTTTGGGTCTGTCTTCATTCAGAGTTGCATAGTTTGTCCACCAGGTGTAGCTCCAGAGCCTGTTATTTCTTATCTCCATGCTTCCTTCCAATGTACACTAGCATGTAGGTGATGTTAAATTGATAAAGCAGATTTTGTTGCTGGAATTGCAAAGTACTCAATTATCACCTTGGTATTTGCCAACATGAAAATTCAAGTGGCCACTTGAGCTAGTAGGTTTAAGCAGTGGGATTCTGGAGAGTCCTAAAGCTATACACTTGAGCCTCTGTGCCCTGGTCTGGTTAGGTTATAGCCACTGCGCTTATCTACTGATACAATTAGTGATGACAACTTGTTGTGCCCTGCTCCCTCTTGGAGCGGCTCCCCTAGGCCATAGGCTTTATCCGGATCACGCCTTGGGTGGCAGATGTACAGTCTCTTCGGCCTCTCCCATGACCCTCACCAGGGTGGTAATTGGCCTGGCATTGCCTGGGGGCTCCCACACCACTAGGAACCCCACCAGGCCACCCATTCCCCGGCAGGGTGCAGTTTCAAGTCATGCCCAGGACCATGAGCCTCCTAGCCATCCCCATAAGCTCTTGCCCTTAATGCAGCTCAGCTAGGCAATGTTTGTGCCTTCACTGCCAGCAGCAAACTGCTGTAGTTATATAAGCAGCCAGTGTTTTAAAATAGCTGCTGCAATCAAGCACCTGCTGGCTGCATGACTCGGCCCTTAAAGGGGCAGGCACTGCAAGTGCTCAGCCCCATTGAGACCATTGCTCCCTGGTTTGTCATCTGCCACCACTGAGTCCAGCAGAAGGCAATGGAAATGGGTAGGGGGCTAGGCAGCAGGACTGATGAAGAGAGTCTGAGGAGCCTGTCTGGATAAGAGAGGACTGAGTAAGATTTAATAGCAGTCTTCAAATCTGTAGGACGGTTCAAAAGAGGATGAAGCTGGACTGTTCTCAGGGGTGGTAGATGACAGAACAAGGAGAAATGGTCTTAACTTGCAGCAAGGGAAGTCGAGGGCAGAAGATGGTTCCCACTAGGAGGGGAGTAAAGCACTGGAACAGGCTACCCGGAGAGGTTGTAGATACTCCATCCTTGGAGGTTTTGAAGGTCCAGCTAGAGAAAGTCTTGGGTGGGATGATCTAGTTGGGGATGGTCCTGCTTTGAGTAGAGGGATAACTAGTTGAGCTCCTCAGGTCCCTTAAAACCCAAATTTTCTATGATTCTAAAATTCGATGATGGTGAACAGCATTGCACAGGAAATTTGGAGAAACTGCCAATGTGTTCACAAGTGATTTCACTGTAAAACCTTTTCTTGCCTTAGACAGAGAAAAGCATATTTCACTTAGACCGTACTAAATCTGTGGGCTGTTTAGCAGTGTTAAAGTTAGAGCATGCTGTGAACAGTCACATGCTAAAAGTAAATCCTGTTTCTTGCCTACACAAATCTAATTTACCCCTAAGGACCACTGAGCAGGGGCATAGCGATGAGCCAGGACATCTGAGCTCTATCTCTGCTTCAGGGGAGGATGCAAGAGTGGGGATAGTGGATACTGGAAGACTAAATTATTCATTTTGTCTCCGTGGAACAGACTTAAGTTACCCTAATACAAGCTAGGTAGCACAGCCCAGAATTAGCCCTCACTTAAAAGTGGCCAAATTTTGAGACACTCAGACACCACTTAGCACAAGCCAACGAGCTTTAATGTGAAGATCTTCATGTCAAAGTGCCCGTAGTATGTTTTAAGTGTAATGTGTAGCTTCACACTTAAAGTGCCTTCCTAAGTTTTGAGGCAACGACTGTTTCACGATATTGTTTATTGGACCAAGTATGCAATTGCCCTGTCAGACAAGCTTTGGAGAAGGATGTGCCCTTCATCCAGTCTAAGAAAGAGGTAGACATAGGCTGACATAAATAGTAGATGAAAGATTTCATGTCAGCAGAAACAGCGTGCTTGGTGGGATGGAGAAGGGTTGCAAACTTGGAGTGAAAAGGTGTTTTCAGGACCCATTATAAGACTAGAGTGTTTTTATCTATTGATTTTATTTCAAATCCAAAAGTTAAAAAAAATAAATCTTTGTAAATCTGGCAAAATCAACCTGTTACAGTTTTCATAGATGCTCAGGTCGGAAGGGACCTCAATAGATCATCGAGTCCGACCCCCTGCCTGGGCAGGCAAGAGTGCTGGGGTTAGATGACGTTTTACTAACTGGCGCAAAACTGGTCCGGTGCAAATCAGAAATCAAAGGAACAATCAGAATTAAAATCAACTACTGAATGACAGTAGCAAGCAATGAAGCCAATAATGAGTGATCAGTTCATTACAAAGACAATGAAGGTTAACATAACCATGTCCACTCCAGGCAATTGTCTCCAATTCAGTGGTTTCACGCTTTTTCGGTGCGGGGCAGCCTTCCACAACTGCTCTGCATGCAGCTGGGCTCTTCTGAATTTCGATTCGAGATCAAACATTTTCTGCCAATGTTACTGAGTGAGCCTGGAGACAGAAGCGCTCGAGAACCACAGATCTACCTGACTCCAGGCGAGGGTGGTGCGGCAAGACTTCATTGCACGCCCTCTCCCTGCCTGCGGTCCGGAGCTTAAGAGGCAAGCACTGTCCCCACTGCCAAGACTGCTCGTCTGGGTGCCACACACCAGCAATGACAGCCACCAGCATCTGTGGGCCTTCTGCCATCACTGGGAACATAGGAGGAGCTGGGCTGGGGGTTGTGGGGATGAGCCAGGCTGAAAAATGTGGCTCCCTTTGCACCTGTCTATCCACCCGCCCGCCTCAGCACAGTGCTCTGCTCAGACCAAAAGGTTTGCAATGCTCGGCATCTCTAAATGACTTTAGGACCCGCAGCACAAGACAAGGCAACTTCATGTACTGTGTCCTGGACAGTAAGAGCCACTCCTGATCCTGCCTCCCTGCATGCTCCCCAAGACATGCCCAATTGTTCAGAAACTTAAACAAAATGGATGGGACTGGGGCTGTGGAAGAGCTCTAAGAGAGCAGTCACCCATGGATTCAGTGCCGACGTCTGGTCTTGACATCCATGGGGTAAAAGTTTGGTATCTGTCCTCTATTCCTTCTTTTCTGTGTATATTAAGCTTGATCTCTAATCTCTGCCTACTCCCAGGCACCTCCCACCGTGTTCATCTCACATTGTACAGAGAAAGTTCCCAGCAGGCCGGCCACAACCGCACCAAAAAAGCCAACAACTGCATAGAGCTGATCCATCTGCAGTGATCTCCATCCTTGTGACCTTGAAGTGCTACTCCAGGTTTGACAGGAAATCATCCATTTGCTCGGTCAACTCCTGCTCAAGGTCTCTCAGGACAGCCTGTTTCCGATCTCCGGCCCCCCTCAGCTCCTCCTCGCACTGCTGCAGCAACTCCTGGCCTTTTTTCTCCAGGCATTGCCGCATCTTTCTGGGCTGCACCCGACAGCATTGCAGCCTGGCCTTGTTTTCCCGGCCCTAGTGAAATACCAGCGAGGGGAAAGGGAGGGTGGTTAATCAGAGCAGCCATCCGTGATAGAAAGCCACAGTGTAGATCCTGATAAAGACACACCGCCCTGCTGGCACCCCTTATCCTTCCCTCTTGTCCCCCAGTGCTGACAGTGCCCTTCTCTCCTGACTCAAGGCCTCCACTTGTCCAGCTGTGCCACCCCACAGATATTCCCAGTGACCCTCAAGCATGACCTGTCACTCACCTGATCTGTAATATAGCCTTTATATTGCTGTTTGAATTTGTCCTTTATGGTCCTGTTGGCAGCATTCTCCATCTGTGGAGGAAAAAACGAGAGGTGAGTGTTGATGGGACAGCGTTGGGATTGCACAGAAGTTTTCCACAGTTGCATCTTGCCCTCCGGTAGTCCGTCACCACAGAGACCTGCGCTCGCATATCCCTCAGCCCTACATGCCTCGCTCCCCTCCCATTCCTTCAAGGGTACAGCCCCTTGCACCGTGCAAAGGAGAAACTGTGACTGTAGCCGAATGGATGAAGCCAGTTCCTAGCCTGGGCATCCCTTGAGTGTCTCTTGGTCTACTGGGGACAGGGACATTAGTGCGTCATGGTAAAGGCTGTGCCAATACACTAATGCACAGCAGAATTAGTGCATCATGAAAAGACTGTGCACCAGCACTGGCACTACTAAATAAGCATTTAGTTAGGACCTCATATTAGAGGGGCTAAACTTAATGTGCAGTAACAAGGGTGGGTTAGTACACGTGTATAGACGCACCCACAGTCTTATGTCTCTACTTTCTACAAAGCACAACAGGGCACTGAGCCGTCAGCCAGCATCCCAAAAGTGCTCCTTTGCCTCTGCTTTATTACAGCCTCCTCCCACCAAAGCTGGGAGACTCCAGAACCGAAGGTAGAGATGGAGATACTGCACCCCAACACCACTGAAGACCTCCCAACTTTGAGAGGGGAAATTTAGGTGGGAGATTAGGAGGAACTTCGAGTCGGCAGGTGGTCAAGAATTGGGGGTCACTGGAGTCAGTGACCCTAGTATATATTAAACCCCTTTTAAAAAAATTCTTTTTTTAACATTAAATGTGATCTCCATTTCCATCCCTACACCATCATCTGTCTCACTGTCACTGTGCTTGCAGAAAGCCTCCAACTTCCAGGCCTGGTAGGGGAACTCCAGTAGCTAATGAGAGTTTATCCCACAATTTCTCCCTGGCTGTCAGGAGCTGTATATCTGGGCACACTTTCCTCATATTCTCCTGTCATAGGCTGAAGAATGCCTCAAATGTTCACATACAGTGGCATTTCCCAAAATGCTGGGTGTGAAAAGTTCCTTGGTGCAGGGGGGAGGCAAAGTAGTGGTGGAAATCAGAGGCAAGGGAAGTGGTGGGGGTAATTAATGGTGATCAGTGGCGGGGGTAGCAATGGTGGTGGAAGGAACTGGTGTTAGTTGGCAACAATCAATGACGAGGGGACGACACAGCAGTGGTAGCACCTGTGGTATGGAGAGCTATGATTCAAGTTTGGGGGGGGTGACAGTGCCAAGTGTGGCAAACACTGATGTACACCATGGCCATCTTTACACCCATCACCCTGCTTCCACCACCCCCGAGTACCTATGACTCTTCCCCTGCTGCAGCTGTCACCCTCCTGTCCCAGCCTCCCCCAGTGAAAATGAATAGCCCCAAGGGATTTGAAAGCCAACACGACCTCTTTGAATCGCCAGTTGTAGGTCGACATGAATCCTTCCAACATTTGTCTCAGCTCCTGTCCCACATCCTGAACCATGGCCTCTTTCTGCTGTTCGTCACCCAGCAGCTCCCTCCGGCACCGCTCCAGCAATTCCTGGCATTTCTCCTCCAGCTTCTTCTGCATTTCAGTGGGACTGATATTCAGACAGTGAGTCTCAGTTTGGGTGTCACGGTCCTGATTGGAGAAAGGTAAGAGATCAGTCATTAGGGATGAGCAGTTTGAAGGGGACATGGGATCCTCCCATAGAGGTACATAGTTTGGCCAATGCCCCTTGATCCTTACCAACACCCCCCTGCTACCCACGTGGATGGCCCCTCACTCCCAGCCCTTATCCCAGCTAATAAAGAGCACCTACTTCCACCGTGTCCTCAAGCATGACCCACTGTCCCTAAACTCACCTGATGAAGCACAAATTCAGAATATTCCCCCTTGATGATGTCGACTATTTTCCTGTTCACTTGCTCTCGCATATTGGCCAAAGTCTCAGCCATCTGTGAGTGAAAAGGGAATGAGTGAGGGATCTTGGTGGTGATGGAAACCTCCTAGGTGACTGTCCTTCTGGGATCAACTCGCCTCTCCCACTGGGCCAATAGAAATTCCCTGTCTCTGGCTTCCTATGTACCCCCCACAAACCCTCGTGTTCTGCACAGGTACTCCTGGAGCAACCCCTTGGCCCCCATCATCTCATGTGCATGGCAGTCATAGTGCAGCTGGACAGTGCAGGGAGCAAACTCCTTGGCTGCAGCTTCATAACATTTCTCCTTCTCTGCTGGGGCTGGAGAGATGGGAAGAGCCCTAATGGGAGGCTGGGGATACTGGATGATGCCTCCCAGCCCTTCCCTGCTATCTCTGTCCATCCACCCATGCACTCATCCATCTATTAGAGGAAGAGACGCATAATTCACAGCTGCACAAATGTGATCGCCTATTTTCAAAGGTCACCTAGAAACCTAAAAGCATCATTGCTGCAGTTCCTCTATCTGCTTGGGAAGAGGAGGAGGAGGTGGAGCAGCAAACCTCGACTACAAAATGAGGGCACATCCAGTAACTCCCTCTAAACCAGCCACGTACAGAAGCAGTCTGTATTGATACTGTCACAACCCAAAGTTGTGGTTTTTTGTTTTTGTGTGCTTCGGCACCGCTAAATTATGTTCCCGCTAAATTGCAGCTTCTTTGCACGGTAGAGTTTTCTGCTGCAGAAGAGAACCCTGGTGCAAAAGAGTATTCCCGCCAATTAGAAGCTTTCTTTGCATGGTGCATTTCTTTTTGCATCCAAGAAATGCACGGTGCAAAGAGTTCCTGCCATTCATATTCAGATTCGTGCCACATTATTGCCCGATTCTAATACATGCACACGTGGTGGCTAGCGACTGGCTTGCTAGCCGTATAAAGAGCTTGGGTGGTTTCCGCCCAAGTTGGAGAGAAAGCAATTGGAGTTTGAGAAGAAGAGCGTGAAGATCTCTAAGCGCTGCGGATCCTTACGAACCCAACGCTTTCCTTAAAAGGCAATAGAGGTCTGATAACCGAACCTGCGGAGCCTTAACCACTCCGGGGAAAAGAACGAACAGCCTCTGGCCTCTCCCCGTCGCCGATAAATTCCTAGACGTATCCCTTCCTATACAAGAAACTACCGAACCCACGGAGCTTCAACAACTCTGGGGCCAATTACCGAACCGAACCCGTGGAGCTTCAATAACTCCGGGGCCAAGAACCGAATTGTTGTAGTCCTCTAACGAGGATTTAAGTGGAGCTGAACCTGGAAACTGTCCAGCCTACACCACGACCATCTTTGGTGTAAGTAAACAATCTTTAAATCAACCATTACGCGTCCGTAACTAATTCTAGCTCGCCACCGGTTCTCTCCGACCCCGCGTGCCCGGGCTGCTGGCCACAGCCCGCGTGCGCAAAGACGGGTCCGCATATCGCTCCCGGCCCGCTCATGGCGACACGGATGGGAGCGGGAGGTGGCCCGCACAGATACTTCTCCTCCCTAAAGGACCCCATCATCCTGAACCCCACAGCTGCAAACATGGAAGAGGATGTACCTTTACAGGAGAAGAGAAGTCATAGTGATTCTCCTCCAGAAATTGAAAGAAATCCTGTGAAGAAATAAGTCACTGGTGAATTAGGGTCCCCGGTGCCTTGCCCAGCACTGAGATGCAACCACCTCTGGGGTAGGGGAGCTGGAGAGCAGGCGCACAGCAAAACAGTCACTC